GGCTCAGTTGGTTGAGTGACTGCCTTCGGCTCAGGTCATGATCCTGGAGTCCCTGGATCGAGTCCCGCAAGCAGGGAGCCCGCTTCTCCCTCTGACCCTCCCCCCTCTCATGTGTGCTCTCTCTCTCTCTCATTCTGTCTCAAATAAATAAAATCTTAAAAAAAAAAAAAAGGAAAGAAAAACAATTTTTAATCTCATTTACATAATGAATCTGTTTGAGAGACTTTATTTAAAAAGAAAACATCAATTACTGTCTTATTTCCTGCCTAATACATAAATCAGTATATATTCAATAGGTGCTCTTTTCTCAAAATAATACCATGTAATTGCCATCATTATGTACCATGCCAAATAAGAAGGCTAACTAGTTCCAATATACTCTGTCTGCCTCCCTTCCAACACATACCCCTATAGAAGACCAATCAGAACAATTCATTAGTTTTTATCTGGCATTCCACATATTTTAGAATTCAGAAGCTCCTCAAAATCATTAGGCTGAGGGTGGTATCTATTATCAAAACATCTCTATAATACTTTAAAAAAAAAAAAGAAAGAAAATATTGATGCGTATTTAAAATCCTAACTGTACTGTTTTCATACTTATGATGTACCTAAGTTTATCTTACAACTGTATAATATGGGTGATACAACTTCTCATTGGACCTAACGGGGCTAACAGTCCCATTTTAAGTTCTTTTCGAGTAATTAAAAATCTAAGTTAAGAAGCATCTCTACATAAGCTACATAAACTGATTTTTAAAAAAATGAATGAATATATAAAACTCTCCAGTTCACAAAACTATTAACATTTTTCTTAAATTAACAACCCTTAGCTAGTTCTCCAATTTAAGTTGTTCTAGAGACTGAATAATGTTTTAACTCAAGAAAAAGCACACATTTATTAGTTTTAGTGATCATACACTGATTTATGAAGTACTGTTTCAAAAATTGTTTTTAAAAACATGTTTCTGGAAGTCTTACCATGAGCTGTGTAGTTTGTACAGTTAACTGGTTCTTGTGTAGCATCATTTATTTTTGGATCTTTACAAATATATGTGAGAAAAGTTAAGGAAATATGAACCACATCCCAACACAAAACATTATCATCTTATCTTTAATATCTTGTATTATATACTCATGTTTACATTCACACGTTAAAAAAAAAGCTGTTGGCCCAAAGCAACAAGCACAACCACAAATATACCTTTAGCGTCACTAAATACTACTTGAACATTAATTTATTACAGGAAAAGTATATTAACTTAATACATATTAAAAGCTCTAGCAAAGGATGCCATCCTTAAAGAACATCAGTCAGCACAAAGCATAAAGGAAAATTGGAAATTAAAATCTTTACCAAATTATTGTAAGAGAGCTTCACGTTGGAAAAAATCAGTTTCCAGAGATTTGACTGAACTAATTTATGGGGCCCCATAGTATTGTCACATACATAACTGCACGTAGCACAAATAACCCTGTGAAGTAGATACTATTATTCCCATATTACAGAAGCACAAACTGAGGCTCAAAGTTTGAGAGACCTATCCAAAGTCATGTAAAAAGTGATAGAGAGTAAAATCAGGTTTCCTGATTCCAAACCTAGAGCATTAGACTGCAGAGAAGATAGTTCTTTTAAGTGAGTCTACATGGTCTCCCCAACAGGATCTTAAGTTTTGAAAACAGGTATAATAACTGTCCTCTAATTTCAAAACACGCGTGGGCAGTTTTTGTTTCCTAAATATTTTATTGTCACTAAAATGGGATAAATAAGGTTTTCACGTCTCTGGAAACAGAGAACCTGACACCTCTTTAAGGTTTTTTAAGCACTACTGGAAACTTCATCTTGATGCCAGGAGTAACAGACATTTTCCAGTTTTCATCACCAAATGCTCAGCCACACCTCTCTAAAGTTCAAATCGTACAACTCTTAATACCATCCAATTATTTCTTAGAATCGCTCTGACATTTTTGCCAAAAAAGACTCAACTTACTAGGTCTGTGATTCTCAAACTTCAAGCGTAACAGTATTCAGTATTCAGTAAATTAGAGCTATTGTGTAAGCATCTAATAATGGCTGTCTCTCTCCGACTTACATAAAAATACTATATGATAGAATTTTCTTAATTTTAAAATTTTGTCTCAAGTCTTTCTTATATCTCTGGCTTCTGTTATTAATTTTTCTGCTCTACAACTTCTATTAAATGATCTAATTTTGTACAAAAGTAGCTATTTTACTTTGACTGTAACTCCCATTTCATATGGATCATCAGAGCTATTACAATGAACAGATCCACTTAACCCCTTCAGCCTGTTTCCACATCTGTAAATAAATTACAGATAGTCCTTACTATGTGCCAGGCATTGTTTTATGTGATTCACTTGCACTACTTTCTCACAACAAACCTTTAAGTTGGTACCACTGTTATCTACATTTTTACTCAAGAGAAAACAGAGTTCAAATAACTGGCCCACAGTTACAACACGGAGCAGGAGTTTGCCCCCTGACAGTCTGGCATCTCACGGAGTTTGAGGATAATGTAAGGCAATAAGCAAAGAGTTAATGATAACTGGGCAATATACAAGGAATATATCGTTATTAACTACTTATTTGTCTCGGCCCCCAAGTCAGCTAACTTCTAGGGTGGAGCCTATTAATCTTTTTATTACTAGTGCCTAGAACAGGGCTTGGCATACTTCAGGATCTAGGTGTTTGCTGAACAAATAAGCCCACCGCTAATTAATTAATTAATAATAAAAACTGGTGGATCAGAAGAGGAAGCGCTAACAATCAATCTTTTTATTACTAGTGCCTAGAACAGGGCCTGGCATACTTCAGGATCTAGGTGTTTGTTGAACAAATAAGCCCACCAGTAATTAATTAATAATAATAATAATAGGTGGATCAGAAGAGGAAGCGCTAACAATAAGTAAAATCCCAAGGAAATCACACAGGGTGACCGCTGTCCTTCCCACCCCCACATCTTTTTTCACATCCCAAAGTCCGTCGGTCATTAAAAGCCACAAGTCACCAATCCCTTAAAGACAACCCTGGCCCGTGTTGAGGGCCGCGACCCACTCGCGACCCCTAATCTACCTCACCCCCAAGGCGGAGGGGGGGGCTCCTCACAGAGGATATTGTCCCAATTTGAGGTCCTCGCACTTAAGCGTCTCCTCGCCGCCGGCGGCGGCGATGGCAGCAGCTCCCCAAGGTCCCGTGGTGACCGACACGAACCACAGGACACCGAGGAGCTGGGCGGCCACGGCCTCCGGAGCAGCCGGCCAGGTGGCCGCCATGCTGGGGACCGACGCGTCCCCCACTACTTCCGGTTCCGCCTTTGCCTAGGCGGGGACGGGAGAAGGGCGGAGGGAGCGAGGCTCTTAAAGGGACCGTGCCTCGGTTGGAGGCTGGTTTTTTCCCCTACAGGGCCGCGGATATACCTGGGAGAGCTGTGATTTGTCTTTGAGGTCCGCAAGAAGGCTGGCTTTGAGAATCAGCGGCCCTGCATCCACTGCTTCCCGAGCTAACCCTGCTGTGACTTTTCCACCTACAAATGTGCCAGCGGCATCCCGGAGATTGTTAAGCGCTTTACAAACATTATTTGGTTAAGCCTGGTAGGATTTGGGTTTACAGATAATGAGCCCGGCTCAACGACGCTAAAAAACATGTCGACCTTAGTTACTGAGTTGGGATCAAATTGATATTTGCCCGATTTCAGAATCTGTGCTCTTACTTTTATGATATAATGACCTATCTGTTCGCTTAGAGAAGAACTTATGGAAGGCTCTTAAACAGAACTTAAGGACTCCATCAGAAAAATAGGCATTACACTTATTTTTAGTAGTGGACATTTATGCGAGCGAGAGGGCCTGTAAGAAAAGGATATTAAAGAATTTACGACTACACTAAGTGAAAAGTTGGAGGTTTTTTCCTCCATCTCTTCTTTCTAAATTTCTGTATATTCTAAAAATTCTGTAGTGGGGATATCTTTTATCCTGGGCAACACGTTTACTTTCTTTAGTGAAAGTTTAAGCCATCTTTTCTTTTTTTTTTTTTTTAACGTAAAAATATTTGAATTTGGTGTCTTCTCATTCATAGTAGCACTAATTTTGAAGAATTGCATCATGCAGTGGTTCTCAAATTTTAGGGCGTATCAGTTACCTGGAAGCTTTGTTATAACACCAAGAATGGGACCCACCCTCAGTTTATGATTATGAAAATTTAGGGTGGGGCAGGGTAATTTGCATATGTAACGAGTTTCCAAGTGATGCTGAGATTGCTAGTCCAGAACCACACTTTAAGAAGCATCGGATAATGTATTATTGGAAGTATCATTTTGGAATAGGAGAACATGAAATTATTTGCAGTAATATTTTAGTATTGAAATTACAGTTAAAATTTTTCTTAAACCACTTTTTCGGCATTACTATGCTATTTTTATTTTTATTTTTATTTTGAAGATTTTATTTAAAGTAATCTCTACACCCAAGTTGGGGTTTGAACCTACAAGCTGGAGATCAAGAGTCGCAGGCACCCCAACTATGGTATTTTTAAATTAAAATATTTATGCTTAATTAAAGATTTAAGTGATAGGAAATTTGAAATTTACTAGTTCAATTTTTAAACTTTCTGTTTTAAGTTGACTTCTCTCTTTTTTCTCTTTCCTCCCTTTATTCTTTTCTTTTCTCTCTCTTCCCCTCCATAGAAATATTTATCAAGCATTTACTATGTGCCCAACATCAGGCAAGACCCTACAGACTCAAAAAAGGAAGAGACAAGAACCTAGTAATTAAACACGTTATGTTTACTAGGGGAAAAGCTAAACAGTTAAAGTACTATTTGACAATTGTTAAAATAGAAGCTTGTACTAGTTACTGTAGTAGGACAAGGGTTTGGATTAAGATATTCCCCCCAAAACAGTACTTGGTACACAATGTTTTGTCACTAGATAAGAATAATTAAAAATGTTGTGACTCTGTCACTAGTCATAAGAATAATTAAAAATCCAGGCCAAACTGGAGGAACAGAGTTGTATCTTCATAGGATACATGACCATCTAAAAACATACAGCCTAGAAAACTATTAAGTTAAAATAATACCGATAATATATATAACGTACAACTCAACTACCATCTCTCAGCTTCATCCTGAGATGAAATTTAGCAAAGGGGTTGGGGTCAAGGATTAGCTAAAATCCAGGGATACGTTTCAGAATATCTGCTACCTTATTATCTGGTAATAAAAGACACTGACTTTGCATTTTGACTACCATTTTAATACACTTTCAAAATGTTCTGCTTTGATTTTCAAAATCCAATCTAAAGATAATCAGGATGTGAAAGGAAGACTTTCTAGTCCGAGTTTATTGAAATTACAACAAAATTAGGTATTTTCCTGATGACTGCAGGAATATTGCTGATCTTTGTGTCATTTTTCATATAGATTTGAACAATTAACTATCTGAAAATGCTTATGCTTTGCTGATTAATCCCATTACAAAATCTATTTTTATGGTTCTAATGATTATCTTCATTCTCTCCTACAATGTATAAACTGAAAAGAACAAAAGAGTCTCCCACAAAAGTAAAGAAACAATACAGAATTTTTAACTCTTGAACCAATGGTACACTTAAAAATTCACTTTCTCAGGTCACTGCCCACATTCTCCACCAAAAATACAAATAAATAACCCCTCACCGAAAAAATCACTTTCTCTTCTTACTGCCCCTTAATCTATTTTCTTATGGTTTGTAAAATACATTACTTTATTTCTTTGCACACATAGTCTCTGATCACATGATTACTACATCTTCTCATTTTAGTAAGTTCTTAAATCTCAATCCTAGGTATGTTTTCAATGCCAAATTTCTTTGTCACATAAAAATTATATAGAATTCTGTAGGAAGCAAAAGACATGAATAGCGCAGTCCAATATGGAAATTGCTGTATAGAAGCATTAGGGGGCGCCTGGGTGGCTCAGTTGGTTAAGAGACTGCCTTCGGCTCAGGTCATGATCCTGGAGTCCCTGGATTGAGTCCCGCATCAGGCTCCCTGCTCGGCAGGGAGTCTGCTTCTCCCTCTGATCCTCCCCCTCTCATGCGCTCTCTCTCTCTCTCTCATTCTCTCTCTCTCAAATAAATAAATAAAATCTTTAAAAAAAAAAAAAGAAGCATTAGGAAAGATTACCAGTGAAGACTGAAAAAAGTTCCTCTGGGATTTAAGGGCTCTGCACATTGGCTCTTTCCATTGCTAAGATTTTAGTATAGACCTTATTACATTAACAGATAGTTTCACCTATCACAAAACTTCCTGAGGAAACCAACCTGGGGGTGCCTAGCTGGCTCAGTGGGTAGAGCGTACAATGCTTGATCTTGGGGGTGTGAGTTTGAGCCTCACATTGGGTGTAGAGATTACTTAAAAAAATAAATAAATAAAATCTTTGGGAGGGGGAAGAAGAAGAAGAAAAGAAACCAACCTGACTCCCATTTCCATGGTTAGGACAGAAACATTAAGAGGTAAAAGATTGTTACCCTCCAAAAAATTTTCTTTTTCATTTGACTGTGATGGGCAATTTTTTCCTCTTGTGATAAATTCATAATATCAAAGCTCTAGTAGATTTTTATTTTAAGGTTTATTTATTTATTTTTAGTAATCTCTACACCCAATGTGGGTCTTGAACTCACAACCCCCAGATCAAGAGTAGCATGCCCTGAGCCAGGCAGGGTCCCTGGTAGATATTTAGCATATCTGGAATCCTACTACATCCATGCTGTTGTCTCTCAAGTACTTCCGATTGTGTCCTCTCTTTGGTACACCAGTCTAACTGCCTACTATCTAATTAACTTTGACATCACTCAATAAAGCCTACTCTATGCGTAGGACCTAAAACTGACTCCCAGAGTCTGCTTCTCAAAAAAACAACACAGAATAAGTTGACTTTTCTCATTGTCACCACCAATATCCCTTCTATCAGGTTCAAAATTTAGAATCATCTTTACACTTTAGTTTTCTCCTTATTCTTCAGTAATCCCTTTATCTAAACAGTAAGGAACTGATATTTTTGTGTTCATTTTTCAATCCTATATTCTTACCCTATTTCAGGTATTTATCATTTCCCATTTACATTGCCATAGTGGCTTCTTCCTCCTTTTTGATTATAAGCCCTCTCTCTAAGTTTGCCAATCCATTTTTTTAATACTGCTTCTGATTAATCTTTCATCAAAAAAAGAAAAACCTGTTATATCATATTCAAAATCTTATTCAAAATCCCACTTAAGCTCCTTGGCATTGTTGACCTTGAAAATAAAATGGTCAGTTATTTTACTAGCAAAATGGGTTTTTTCAGAAATAGCAGAGGAATTGCAATTTGAGACATGCAAGCTATGACAACCATCGACAAATCAGGAGAACAAAAGAGATGAATGTTACTTTATAGAGAAAAAGGAGGAAGCTGGGAGGGGCTGCTTTGAACAAGGGTCCATTTGAGGCAAGTGAGAGTTCAGGGTGGTGATGGTTTCTCATCAGCTGACTTGTGGCAGTTTCTCATTGGCTGGCCTATTGCTGGGCAAGGAGAAAATCTTCCTTCCTCTTGCTGGGGTAGTAAAGTAGGCTTCTTTTGAGGGTCTGCAATTGACCTCAAGTTGGTAGGGCATGAGCCCTTCCTCTTCAGGCCTCCTTACTCTATTTTAAATCTTTATTCTGGGGCACCTGGGTGGCTCAGTTGTTAAGCGTCTGCCTTCGGCTCAGGTCATGATCCCAGGGTCCTAGG